AAAAATAATAATAATAATAATAATAATAATAATAATAATAATAATAATAATCAAAATCAAAATTAAAATCAAAATTTTGAGCTAGCATAAAATCAATAACAATAAAGACATAATTAAGTATGATAGTGGACCAATCTAGTCCTCCAACAACTTTTTTCGACCCCTGCCCACAAGGACATGCAGTTATAATGATAAGCATATTTCAAACTTTATTATTTCAATAGCCAACCATATGAATCGAACTACTATTCAAAGTGGACGCATGTACAATATCCTTTATTCATAAGATTATAAAGAATATTAATGAGACATTATACGTTGGTCAAGTTCCAATTTTAATTTGCTCACTAATATGAGAAGCGAGACTTGTCAGGATTTTTTTCTTTTTTCCTCCTTGTAAAAAATCTTGTTCGATCGATATCATTTTCAGTAGTACAAGATGGAGTAATAGCTGGCGTCATTCTGTAATTCCAAGTCTTTTTCTGTAGGTTTCTCTCTTTAACTATTATTGCTATCACAATTATAGCCAATGCGGTTTAATTAACTAAATTTGCAACTTTTTCAAGCTTTAATAGTCCCGAGGCTAAGAGCTAGGGATATACGAGCCAATTTAAAAGAACAGTAAGTCAATTTTGCGATTTCTGTAACTTCATTCGTTATTTTACTCTGACTAAATCGCATATAAGGATTTTTACGTAGAACTTAGGGGTTACTCGAACTGAATCAAATCGAGTAGCTCATGTTAAGATCTTGTTTGTTTAATAAATGAGCCGACGCAACTCAACTTATTTAAATATGAGGAAAAGGCAAAGACTCGAGCTGATCAACTTGTTTAAACTCGTGAATGTTCCGCTCGACTTGGTTGAGTTCATTCATAAACCCAAAACCCGACTTGTTTAATAAACGAGGCAAAGACAAAGGCTCGAGTTGATTAGCTCGTCTAAATTAGTGAACGTTCAGCTCGACTTGATTGAGTTTATTTAATAAACCTAAAACTTTAAACGAGTTTACGAGTTCTTTTCAAGTATTTTATTTCAAAATAATAAAAAATAATAAAATGAAAAACAACCTGCTCGAGTACAAGCATATGCTCATTTAATAAACTAGCTCAATTTGTTGCTTGAGCTCCGCACGTTCTTTTATTTAGACGAATCGAACTCGAACTTTGATCGCGAGCCGCTAGTTTCGTTCAACAGCTTGATACAAAACCTATAAAATTAATAGACTCTAGCCCTTATATAAGAAAATGCTTTAATAAAGACTCTAGCCCTTGTATAATGGCAGGGTAAATATTGTAATTTTGCATTTAACTTATGGCAAACTAGTTTCTGAAAAAAATGGCAAACTAGTTCATTTATAATATGTTTAAATTTTTTGTGGGGCAAAAATTCAAAATTGGTCCTATAATTTGGTCACTGTCCAAAAAAACCACCCCAATATGGACCACTTTCAATTTAGGTCCTATAATTTGTCGATTTCATCAATTTTGGTCCTTTTTTATCCGCACCCTGAATTAAAAAGTGACGTGACATGAAAAAATGACCAAAACTGATGAAATCGACAAATTATAGGACCGAAATTGACGTGCCACGTAGATCATAATCACGCCATGTAACATTAAAAAACTGACACGTCATGTGTATCTGAACTTCTATCCATATCTACCAGAACTTTTGAAATTATAAAGCACTTCAATTCTAAATATATTTTATATGATAATATAGCTTTTATATTTGCTATCATTTTTTCATATATGATATATCAAATTAATCAACTTTTGAGGATCATTGAATTGACATTCATATTTCAAATACATAAAATAAATAAATAAATAATTTTTTATTATAAAAATTAAATCATCTATTAATAATAACTAATAACTAATAAAATTATAGATAACTAAAAAGTTATCTATAAAGTCATAAAATATGAATTAGAAAAATTATTATAATATAAAACTGGTTAAATTGTACAAGTGAAGAGCGTCATTTTAATGTAAATAATAATGCAATATTAGTTAAAAGTTTTTGAAATTTAAATATAATATTATTTTTTTAATTTTTTTAGAACTTAAAGTATAAATATTTTAAGTAACCTGTGTAAAATACCGGTGTTATACTAGTGAATAACTCAAGAAATGATCGAATAAACAAGTGGAGTTCGAAAGAAATCAAAGATACGAGTGTTGTACTTGTGAATAACTAAGAAAATGATGGACTTGGAAAAAAAATTCAAAATATTATAATTTACGGGTATTGTACTAATTGATAACTAAAGAAATGATGGAATAGAAAAATTATACGAGACTTTGTTGTGTAATTTTCTCAAACAAATAAAGTTTAGTCGTAAAATTATACTAGACTTTGTTGTGTAATTTTCTCAAACAAATATAGTTCAGTCATGAAACATTTAGCATGGGCCAAAACAACAGAAACTATGAAATCTACCACAATGAAAAACATATAAATCAATACTTTGTAGGAAGAACATATAAATCGCCCTTCTCAGTTCTCAACCACAATCAATTCATCATAAGTCATACACAAAACAATTGATTAAAAGGGCAAAATAGCAAAGACATGTTAGATAAAACCGAAAGTTGGAAGCCATACAAGGAGAAACACAACTAAAAGAATGGGCCAGCAGCAGCTAATAATCTGAAATTCAAAGACCCAACCGAAATCCAGTTTGTTGCCTTCATCAGTTGTTCGAAATATAGCACAATTAATCCTCACACCTTCTGATTTTACCAGAAATTAATCCACAATTAATCCAGTTTGTTGCCTTCAAGACAGTCGTCCGGCAAATTTAAGTCAACTCACACAGCACCAGAAATTAATCTCTTTTTCCATTTTTCAATTTTACCATCACACTACTGATCATTCCAAAAGCAAAGCATAATACTCAAACCAGACAAAGAAACCCAATCCATTAAAAGAATCAAGAATATTCAACCAAACCTACCTTCTTTTGTTTCGGCCACCCCTGTCAGAAAATCACTACTTATCCACGTCAGCAGCAGCCACAACCCGCATTTCACGGGCCGCCTTCGGGCCCTCACCACCATTCCTCCTCCAGAAAGCCCGCCTCCACCAAACCTCAAACCCCCTCTGTATATTCGGGCAGTCCTCCCCCGAATTCAAGAACCGGTCAAACCACGACATCATGATCTCCTGCTGCCAGCTCATCGGCAGCGTCAGAATCGTGTTCGCAAGCCCTTCCTCGACCAAATGACGATCGAGCCCCCTCGAGGCCCGTCTCATCCACCCGAAATCCTCGTAAAACGGGCCCAGCCACGTGCGCACGAGCATGCACCTCGCCTCCTTCGAGGCTAAAAGCTGAGCCTTCCCAATCCCGACAAAAAGCCGGGCCGTAACCCTACTGACCTCGAACCTGTGGACAGCTGGCACTTTGCAGTGGGCCCCAGCCAACTCGGACTGCGAGGCCCACGTCCTCAAGAAATCCTCTGCCACCTGTCGGTCGATCATTATATCCAGCAGCCACTGAAGGTTATCCGCCTGCCGGGCTATAAGGCCCGCAGCCCGCGGATCGTCACCTTCGGCGGCCCGTAAAAAATCGCGGGATAAAGATTTAAGGCAGGAATTGCAGGCTGAGTAAAGAGACTCCTTGCTTAAGTCGTTTTGGGAGGAATTCTCGCGGAGCATCTTGGTCATAAGGCTCTTCATCTCACGACGGGCTTTTTCGTCTTTTCCCTCGAGGACAACTTGAAGGAGCTTGAGAAGGGTCTGCTCGTGGTCATTTTCGCCGTAGGCCCCGGAAGATGAGTCGAGGGAGACTCGTTTCAGGACTTCGCCGGCCCCGACTCCTTCGAGCCGGAGCTCGGAGAGGAGGGAGGCTATTTTTTGTTCCTCGTCCTCGGCCCATGGCGCGGCTTCTAGATACTCGAGGCAAGATAGTACGCCAGCATCAAATCCGATTGCAGCCGAGACCTTATATATATATATATATATTAAAAGAATCAATTTTTAGGGAAAAATGACCGCTGGAGTTCATAATTCTGGTAAAAATCTTGTGAAGGAATCAGAATGGGATGAAAAAAAAACATGGAGCCAAAAAAATCGATTATTTGGGCAAAATGACAGTTTACGATTCAAATTATGATAAAAGAATCTTGATGAAGGACCAAATTGTGAAGGAAAACATAGATGTACTAGCCATTTGGCAATTGGACTGCAGCCTATATCTTTAGGAGTTCAAGATTGAGTTACACTCTTAATGGCAACATAATCGCTCAAGTGGGATTCCACTCACCCTGAGGAAGGGAAGTTGATATAGGGTTCGAACACATGTACCTTTTTATTTAGTTGTAGGGTTAAAAGTAAGAGTATCGTAGAAACTTCGAGGCTAAAGTGTCGAAACAACCCAAAGAGCGTAAGTCCACAAAGGCATAGTTACGTCCTAATCGAAACATACATTATTTAATAGTCCAACTTAACCACGTGAAATTGAACATTATGGGAAATTAAATCAGCATGACCCACTAATGCCTTAGGATCAGGCATTTTACCGCCATTTGATAAAACTATAAGGATCTCAACTCAAGTTGCTTGTTTATCACCTAATAGATAGAGATCTCAAGCACACGGGATATGAGTGGACCAAAACTATTATTACAACACATCACCAATTCTTACACAGAAACTGCTAATGATGTTAGATTCATTACAGCTATCATTGGTAGGGAAAGTTCATACGATACATAAGGAAACTACAATGACCTGCAGCCTTTTAAATTGGTTCCCTAGTTTGTGCCGCATTTTATAAAATTAGTCCAGTAATTTGTGAAACTAATAACAAAGACACTGCAGGATCATAATAGAGTTTGTGCCCTAATTTTGAATTATATTTCCTCAATCAGTTAGTGTATGAGATTTACTTGGCCTTGAAATTACCATCAAATAGTTCAACTTAAAATTTCGATGACCAAAAATTTGATCAATTGATGATTTAATCAAATCAATCATCATATGATCAAGTTCAAGGTAACATCTTGTTGAGCTAAACTTATTATTTTGGATTTTCACAAATAATAATATTACAGTAACCTAGGTATACCTAATCCTCAGTTCATCAAATATTTGCTATTCAAACAAGCTGAAGATTCATTGAAATCCAGCATCAACTGATCAAATTAGATTTGGAAACTTCTCCAATAACATTATTACAGTAACCTAGGTAGCCCATTTCTTGGATCACCAAAGTTTGCAGTTTAGACAAGCCGAGTTCACCAATCATGCAAGGGTGAATCCCAATTTACGGTTATTATATAGTTTAACGTCCACGATAACTAATGATTGGAAGTTAATAATTACAAAAATTTCTCATTCTTTTAAAGATTCACTCCCACTTACATAATCATCATATTCTCTCTTTTGAGAACCCATATTTCCAAGTCACAAAATATGAATCATCTCTAATATTGCTTTGATCTTTTCACAGGACATCACATGCATTTCATTTTTCATTTGGTCAAATTCCCAGCCCAAGTTTAAGAAAGCACAACATGTAAAGCAATTAACAATAATTCAATGTTAGATAAAGATAGTAAAACATTCAAAGTTACCTTAAGAATACCCAGCACGCGAGGAACATCCTCTTTCATCAGCTTTCTCCTCAAATCCTTACAGTACATCAGTCTCAGAGTCTCGATATAAACTTCTATATCATCACAATCCGCAATCTCCACAATATACGGGCCCGAACTCCTCTGCTGCTTAACCCACTTCTCGTTCAGCTTCAAGGCGAAAAATCTGCTATGCACCACAAGGATTTGACGGTGAACGCTCATGGAAACGTTAAGCCCATCCTTAGAACTCAGAGTAAGCTTCACATCTCCTGAAACAGCGTCGTTAAACAAGTTCCCAGGGCTCCTCGACGCAAGAATATCCATTAGCCTCTGCTGCATTAGCGCCTGCCTGTCCTGGGGAGGTGGGTTCGCGGAAAGCTTCGAGCTTTGGCCGTTTTGAGCAGGGACCGAGCCGTTTTGGGCGACGGCCGCGGTTCTTGGGAGGCATTCGGGCTCGTTGGCCATCATTTCGAAAAGGGTAGGGCTTGACCGAGCTTTATCGACCAGAGGTGGGGGCGACATCGGGTTGAGGAGGCCCGCGGTGAGTGCGGAGTTAAATTTGCTCAGGGACGATGGGAAATTTTCTTGGGCACCGGCGCCGGCGGCGGATCCGCCACCGTAGACGCTATTCTGGTAGGAGTCCATGTCGGAGGGCGAGTGGCGGATCTTGAGATCTGAGGAGGAGGAGGAGGAGGAGGAGAGCGGCGGATGGGAGGGCTCTAGAGACGGAGACGAAGCAGCAGCAGCAGCGGCAGCGGCGTCGACCGGAGGAGGAGTGGGCAGTTTAGAGGCGGGGCAGCACCAGGAGTTGTCGGAAGAGACTATAATGGGCGTGTCGAGTCTGCGGCTTTGGGAATGGTTTTGGTTTATGTATACGGCGGCCGATGAAGAAGAGCCGTTATCTCCGGCGGCTGAGGCGGAGGAGTTGGGGGTGGTGGTGGTGGAGGTGGTGATGGTGGTCTCGCGACAGCGGCGGCGTTTAGGTTTGATGGGCTGTGTTTGGAATTTGAGACGGGTAGTGGTTGCTGCCATATGATGTGAGGAGAAAAAATGTGTCAGTGTGTGTGTGTGTATTTCTTGGGGTGTGTTTTGTCCTTTAGCTTAAGGGCTCCATTGGCATCATCATCAGATTTTGCAATGTGCAGACATGAAAATGAGATTAAACAAATGGACTAGCGATGTGTACGAGACAGAATTGAAGGATATGAGGACACAGCAAAGAGGAAAGTGTCTCCAGCAGAGAAATTTAATTGGGAAAGTTAAAGGTGCTTGGTGGTGTTTGTTGAATATGTAAGGTAAAATTATTGGATCCTTTGCCTTTTGGTCTTGGAATGATTATATGTGGTATTCATACTTGGGCAGTCGAAATATTTTTACCCAGGGAAAATTTTTAATTTTAACTTCATTTTGGGGTAAGATATACAATTGACCAACACCAACACAACAAAAAAATCTAATCTATATTTATATAACACATCAATCTTTATTGTCATAATTAGCATGATTTTGAACAGGAAAATTTTGTTGTCTATATTTAGTATTTAATTAATATTTATTTATTAGCAAATCTTACGCATGAAAAACATATTTAATTTCTATACACTCAATGACTATGACTCATTAACTACAAATTGACTTGACTTGAATTTTTGACCGTAGATTTATTAGATTTATTTTCAATCAGATCTTATATTAATTCAATAGTAATTTATTGACACAATTCAAAAATTATTATAAAAATTAATTTGATTAATTATATTCACTCTTTAGAAGTACTTAAGAAATTTAATAAAATAATCAGATGACCGCACGTCGCAACACGGCAAATTTAAATTTATAATATTTTTTACGACTAACCTCTACTAACTAGTAGTAGCGGCGAGTAAGGGTCGATCCCACGAGGAGTAGGAATTAAATTGTGACAATTTCGTATTAATTAAATTAAAACTAAGAAAGCAGTAAATGGAGGGATTGATTTAATAAAAATAAAAAAATAAAATAAAAATCAAATAAATAAGAGAAGTCCAGTTTTCGGTTCAGTTATCGCCCAATCTAAATCTACTGCTAATTAATTTCGACGCTTTCTCTAAATCGCCGACGAATTACCAACCCTAGCCAACAACAAGCTCTGTTAACCAAATTTTCCCATACCGAATATTTAATTGAAATAAGCTCTTCGACTAAACCTAACTAGCGGACAACCTAGAATAAGCTCTCTAGATTTAATACACTAGCAGCATTAATTCCTAGGAAAATAGATCAGTCTAAGCAATGGACGCAAAAGCTCGGACCATTTAACTTATGCTCATGCTACCCTAGAGATGCACGACCCCTAGTTTACTACTAACGAAACGAGACAATAACAATTATGGATTAAAGTCCCGAATCTAGCAATAAAATCGTGAATATTCAACCTACCTGGTCGAACTAAATCAAACACCATAATTCATAAACATTAAACACAGATAGCATGAATCAACTCATCAACAAAAATAAATACGACGTCTCGATTAATCAACAATAAAAGAGATCATCCAATTCATAGACAAATCGGAATTAGGGTTCAAACATCCCCTCAAACTGGATAAAAATATTAGCCTAACATACTAATAAAAATAAATAAAAGAAGATAAAAGAGAGAGATTAGTTATCTCCCTCGTGTGCAGGTGCGGCTTCCCTTCGCTTAGGTGATCTTCTCTCTCGGTCCGTACGTGTACTGCTCTGCTTTTTACTCTCGGCTTCCGTTCTCTGTTGCTGT